TAAATAAATAAATAATTTTATTAAGAGAAATAATAAAAAAATAAAAGGACCAAAGATCCAATAAAAAAATAAATAAATGGAGCAAAGCCTTAAACTGGTAACTCACAGAAGAGGAAATCTTATTGGATACTAAACAAAGGGAGAAATGCTCATTGTCACTATATGCTCAGTATTAAACAAATTAATTTAATTAGATAGGATCATGCATATCCAACCGACCAAATATTTGAATGTCTGACAATGACAAGTATTTGTGTGGGAGTAGGGAAACAGGAACAATCAGACTGCTAATAGGGAGTAAACTGGTACAACTATTGTGGTGACTGACTAACAATATTTAGTAGAGTTGAAGATGCATGTTCTACTTCTAGGTATGTACCCTAGAGATACTGTCAAATGCGTACACAAAGAAACATAAACAAGAGTATTTTCTGCAGTACTGTTTATGATACTAAAAAGTCAAGACCATCCTCAATGGTCAATAAGAGAATGAACTAATTGTGGGATTAATCATACAAATGGGATACTATATACTCCTACAGGTATTAACCAGCTCAGCACATGTACTAGCTCTACATGTATCAACATATTAAATGTAAACACACAATACTGAGCAATGGAAGCAAATTTCAAAAGGATATGCATATCATGAAACCAATTATGTTTAGTATAAAATACAGAGAATATGCATTGCAAATCATGAATGGTAAGGATATGCACAAAAAAAGGACAGTAGTTCTTCTTGGAAATGACATGAGGAAAACTTTCAATGGATAGGCAGCTTTTTCTTTATTTAAAAACAGAAGGAAAAAGGTTAACAGTGGTTAATTTGGTTAGTGGCTATATGTCAACATTCTTGGTTGCAAACAAGATCTGCTCTACTAGTTTAAGCAAAAAACAAATGGCTCACAAGGCTCAGAGATCAGGTTACAGGACTCAAAGAAATGCCCATTATTACAGCACAGAGCAGCTGCAGGGAGAAAACCACTGAGCACAGCCCCACACCTTGTACCACGACACGGGACCCTCCGCCGCTGCTGCCTTAAAAGCCACATGTCACTGTTCCCCTCAACAAACTGGATCCCACGTGCCATGTTCTTCACAGCATCACTTTCAAATTTCACACAGGTGTGTCTAACTAGTGAGCCTAGGATGCCTGTCTGGGCCCTGACTGCAAGGAAGGTTTGGAAATTAAGTTTCACTCTCCACTTGGTAAGATACATAAAGGGGGAAGTCATCAAACAGTGGATGTTCAAGCAGAGCTAGGTGCCCAAAAAGCATGAAAAATGTCCATCCAAATAAGGGTTTGTTAAATTATTTTTTGTAAGCTCAAAATATTTCACAATTTTTTAAAAGAAAAAGAAATTCAAAGTATAAATCCACAGACAACAAAGGGAATGGAAGAGGAAAACAGCAGCAGACAAGAAATTTCGCCCAGTTGCTAAAAGATGGACAGTGGAGTGACCAATGCAACAGTAGAGGATGTCACCGCCTAGAATACATGCGGGAGTCCAGCAGAAGAGAGCCAACCTGCCCAGTTGGCCTGGAGAAGCTCAAAGATGGTGGAAGACAGAATAGGGGCTAAAGAGAATGGGATCAACTAAAGGTCTATATACAAACCAGTTGATCTCTACCCCATACCCCCTACCTCCAAATACAGAAGGGCCTGAATCCAGATATTTGCCCACAGGTAAGATACTGGAGGGATCTCATAAAATAAAAGAACAGTCTGGGGAGAACGAGAATAGTCATTATAGAAACCAGTCACCAAGACTGACAATCTCTTCATTCTAGCGTTCGAAAATCCCCATCATAACAGCCAGCTTCACCTACTTATCTTGAGAAGCCAAACCTCGCCCATACCACAGAGCTACCACTCAACCTCCCTACAGCCGCATTATCAACTAAAACTAACAACCGACAATTGCTAGATTTGAAAAAAAAAAAAAGCCCAAAACATGAAAGATTGAGATAAGCAAAAAATCCAACTCTAGAGGAACGAGATCATTCAGAGACTAGGAAATAGATGAATGAACAAATCAATGACTATAACTCTATTAGTATGTTCAGAAAGATTCACAAATACATACTATAACTGTTAAACATGAACAAGAGAGTGGTACATAAGAGCACGTCAGTGAAAGCACCTGGGTCCAAATTCCAGCTTTGCTACTTGCCAGTTCTATGATCCCCAGTTTCCTCATTTACAAAATGGAAACACCTTCTCAACAGGTTGTCGTGAGGATTAAATAAGAGACTCCATGTGAAAAGCTCAGCACGGTGGCCAGTATATAGGAAATACTCAGTTACTCAGTAAATAGTCAGTTAATCCATCCACAAACACTTGCCACTTGCCACAATGATGTTTACTGCATCACTGTTTACAACAGTGAAAAATGGAAACTAGGATGGTCCTATTTATGTTTGTAAAAGATGGCATTTGTATTTGTGCATATATGTTTATACGTGTACAAAAAAGGACTGAAAGGAGAAAACGTGCCCAAGTGTTACATTCGGGGAGAGGAGGAGACAGGGTTGTTTCTGTGTAAAATTTTTATTGTGTTATCCTCTAGAAAAAGGAAAAAGTAAACATCAGTATACATCTTAGGGAGAAAAAGACAAAAAGCACACACAAACATTACATAGAAAACTTTTATTTTAATTTACTATACATATCTAAATTTGAGGAAGTTACTAGGCAGATGCACTTTCCTCTGTAGGCTGAGTTTGATCTTCAGGTACCTGTAAAAACATAAATAGCTTTACTTTTCTAATAAACACTTTTAGTTTTACCCTGCACCCACCATTTAAAATCACTGCACAGCCTTTCCTCTTATAATGACCCTGTCTTTGTCTTTCTCCTTCAATAGTAATTATTATAGAAAGTTAAGTAGAAAGAGAAGAAAACTTACAAGACCAAGTTCCCAATATAAATTACCAAGTACAACAATTCCATTAAAAATACAACCTGAGGCATATATCTAGGCTTCTCAAGATGGTCATTTTATTTTTCATCTATAAAATGAAATCATTAGTTTAAGAAAAATATCAGCAATGCTGCAACAAGGTATTTTAAATCAATCTGTTTTGTTGAAAAAAACCAATAATTCTACTTTGAATATAGTATAAAACAGGTTTAGTAGAAATAGATATCTGTATGGTAATATTTCTATTATATGTCACTCAGACATAGCAAACAAACAGAGCTAAACTCTATCCCTCATCACCCCCAAAACCTGCCCTACTTCCTGCATTATCTATTTCAGTGAAGGGCTCTACCCAGGTGCCCAAGCCTGGCATGAGAGAATCCACAGTTCTCTTACCTGCATATTGAATCAACAGTCCTATTAATTCCACCTAAGTAACTCTCACAGCCATTTTCACTGCCCTGCCGGAACTTCAGGATCTCATCATCTACTATGGCTTAAGTCACAGTTATCTTCCATGCTGCCCTCAGAATGAGCTTTTACACAGGAATAGTTTACCAATAGGTCACTTCCTTATTCAAATTCTCCAGTTACCTGTCACTTCCTTATTCAAATTCTCCAGTTACCTCCAATCACCTTCAGGAGGGGAATGCAAATTCCACATCATGGAAGACAAGCCCCTCATATTCTATTTCCAACAAACTAATCTGGACTCATCACCCACCCTACATGTGACTGTACATCCATATTCATCTTACATTCACCACGCACTCCATTCCTCCACGCCTCTTTAGGCGAGTAGCTTCCTCTGAGATAAACCCATCCCCAAGCAAATTATCTGCCTGGCCCACTTTTATTCATCCATTAAAACCAGCTTAAGAAACACCAATTCCTGGGAAGCTTCCTTAACCAACCCCTCCCAGCTTGGTTTCGGTCCTTCTCTTCTTTATGCCAGAGCCCCACATGTACACCTGAATTGTCTGCTTCTAAGTCTAGTTATCCTGTTCAAGTAACTTCCTTGAGGACAGCAAGAAGATTGTGTTCATTACTGTACCCACTGTTGCTGGCACATAACAAACATTCAATAAGTCTGTGTAGTTAAATCAATGAACCATATGTTTAACCTACTCCCTTTAGACGAGCAAACAAACAGTGGAAGAAGGAAACTGAACCAAAATAAATGTTGCAAAAACAGCTACTCACTGATTTCTACTAGATACTACTCTAGGTTACTGTCTCTACTATTTTTCTACATTTCTTATAGACTCATTTTTTTCTCTAGTTTCTTAATCTAAAATGGACATTGTGACCAACCAAAGAGACAAAGTTACTCTCCCTATTCAAAAACACTTTCTTCTCATGAGAAAAAGAAAATTTACATCACCTTTACACAAAAACATTATAGCTAAGTGCCTAAATAGTGAATTCTATCTGTAAAGTCATTGATAAAGACTAAGTTTACACATCATCATGCAAAATAATCAATACAAATTTATTGGGTAATCCCCCATATGCCGAGTGCTGTGTTCAAACTCTGGCATTACACATAGTATACAACAAACCTTGAATGGGTTAACACAATGTAAATGTACTAGCAAAAATAATCAGAAAACAATATGAGGAGGGATACAATCAAGCAGAAATTGCAGGGATGGATATTTGTTCAGAGTTTACTCTGAGAATGTTACATGGAGAAGGTAAGATTTGGACAAGGTCTTGCAGAATGAGTAGGATGTAAACAGACAGGAGGAGGATGGGAAACAGAGTCTAGACATAACTGTCATAAAGAAACAAACTTGAGCATAAGTTTGAGTTAACAATATGCAATACGTATTTGAAAGTTGCTAAGAGAGGAGATTTTAAACCTTCTCACCATAAAAAAAGCTAACTCCCTGAGATAATGGATGTGTTAACTAACTTATTGTGTTAAACATTTTGCAATATATAGATATAACAAATCATTACACAGTATACCTTAAAATTACACAATGTACGTATTTCAATACTTCAATATTTCAATATACTTCAATATTTCAATATACTTCAATATTGAAGTATTTCAATACTTCAATATTTCAATATACTTCAATATTTCAGCTGTATTTCAATAAAGCTGGAAAAAAATGAAGTGACAGAAGAAGGTAAACTAAAACAAAGAAACAAGAAAGTAAGTTTGATGTGTACTTGTAAGCTTGACTAGAGTGGAAACTTAGGGTAATGAGGAAGGGTTCATGAGGCCAGGTTACACAGGAGAGCTATCAGATAATGTAAGTAAAAAGTTAACACTTAGTCTCTGAAAGAGTGAACAGGGATGATCATGGTCAAGAAATATAATCATTCCTATTTGTGAAATCTAGATGCTAGTGACACAGAATAAACGACAGTAGCACCAGTATTCAAATTTGGTTCTTCAGGACATTTGCATATTTAATATGTCAACTGTCGAGGCAGCTTTAACTCATATCTGGCAAATCTTTAAATGTTCATTAAGTTTACCAAAAAATTATCAAGACCTAATTAACACCATTACAACCATTAAGAACTACAACTACTATACAGTAATATTCTTATTTTTCTTCAAGTTCTACAATATCATTCCCATGATACTAACAAATAAAAATGAAAAGAATTGCCAAATAACAACTTTTCTCTTGCCAAAATACTAACAGGGTCAACAACCACAATACCGCTTTAGCTATTTAGACAACTAATTACTTTTTTCTTTCTTTCTCTTTTCTTTATTATTTTGTTCTTGTGGTAGTAGTGGTTGCTTAATTTCAAGGAAAATTTCTTCATAGAAATGTACTCACATGTTGTCAAAAACACCATTTTCCGAGACCTTTCCAATAGTTTATTCCATATCGTAAAATGTGCCTTGAGAAGAAAAGATTTACTATGAGTTATATAAAGCACAAAAGTTACAATAGAAGAGGCTGAGTCTTTACATAGGTTTTAAACAAAACAAATACATAAAAAGTTAGGCAGTACTAATGAGGCTAAGTGGTTCCAAAAGTGAGTTCAAGTAGGGAAAAAGGGTACATACTATACAGAACAGCTGCATTGTTTAGCATTTAAGAAAAGAAGACTTAAGGACTGAATATGCCATTCTTCCTCTTTGTGCTTCTTAATCATTACCACCGTAGAACACATTCCTTCTAATGGGAAGCAAAAATCTGTCCCACTTTTCCACCCGTTCTTTTCTTAAATAGCCAATTCCAATATGCTAGTGGTCATTCTTCAAATCACAAGCAAGCACAAGGAAAGGTTCATTAAGAACCAACTGTGACGCAAGAGGGAGGGGATATGGGGATACATGTATATGTATAGCTGATTCACTTTGTTATACAGCAGAAACTAACACACATTGTAAAGCAATTATACTCCAATAAAGATGTTAAAAAAAAAAAGAAACTATGACATCTCACACTGAAAGAGCAGACCTAGAGGATTTAGTAAATTACCCTAAAGAACAAGTAAAAACTAATGAAGACAACAGTAAAGTTATAGAACCACTTTCCTTAATTCTTAACAATCTTATGTAGCAGAGGATTATCAGAATGCATAAATGAAAAATGCAAGGTGCAAAACGACCACATCAATGTTACTAACTCAGTTGAAGGTGATACTGAGGGATATGGGTGGGTCAGGGACTATTTCAAACTGGATGAGCTGGTAAAATCTGTAATAAAAGGTAAAATTACTAAATATGTACACGCAAACCTTCTGGAGGAAGAGCAGCATGGTATGTTAAAGGGAAAACCATACCTGGCTCAGGCAGAATGAGCAGCGGGTGGGAGACTTTAAGGTGTGAGTGGAATATAACGGGTAACGGAGAAAGCGGTATGAGATGCAGTCAGAGAGAGAGAGGCAGGAGCCACACAACGTAGGGCTTTGTGAGACAGAGTGAAGGGTTGGCATTTGTTCATGAGAAGCCACTGGAACGTCTGGGGCAGAGGAACTGCATGATCTGATTTGTATATTAAAAGCTTCGTTTTGGCTACTCAGCAGAGAATGTGCTGTAGGGGGCAAGAATGAAAGCAAAGAAGGGGAGTGAAGAGAAAGAGCAACAGGGATGAGGGAAGCAGTAGTGGATGAGCTGCTATGCCATGGATGCATTCGGAATATGTTTTAGGGTTAGGAGTTGAAAGGACTTGCTGGTGGATGGGATGGGGCATGGCTATGAGGGAAACAGAGAATCAAGGATTACCTCAAACAGCCGGCTAGACGACAGTATCATTTACTGAAATGGAAAAAGCTAGGAAAGGAAGGTGTGTGGAAAAAACATGTAAAGGACACGTATGGTAAAAACTAAAAAATGCTGATGAAAGGGATGAAAGAAGATTTAAATAAATGAAAAGATATACTGTGTTCATAGACTGGAAGGCTCAATGCAGTAAAGACATCAATTCTCCCCAAACTGATATACAGGTTTAATAAAATTTCTATCAAAATCCCAGCAAGGGAGAACCATTGAAGATTGCGGAAAAGTAAGACGCGGAGATCATCTTCCTCCCCACAAATACATCAGAAATACATCTACATGTGGAACAACTCCTACAGAACACATACTGAATGCTGGCAGAAGACCTCAGACTTCCCAAAAGACAAGAAACTCCCCACGTACCAGGGTAGGGCAAAAGAAAAAAGAAAATCCCAGCAAGATTTATTGATAGAAAAAAGATTACCCTAAAGTTAAATGGAAAGGCAATGGATCTAGAATAGCTAAAACAATTTTTATAACAAATAATAACATGGGAGGAATTATTCTACCTCATTTTAAGACCTATTAAAGCTATAGTAATCAAGATTGTGTGATATCTGGAAGAGAGAGAGACACAAAAATCAATGGAACACAATTGAGAACCCAGAAATAGACCCACACATATACAACCACTGATTTTTAACAACAGTACAAAAGCAACTCAACAGAGGAAGGATAGCCTTTTCAACAAATGGTACTGGAGCAATTTGACAAGTATAGGGAAAAAGAAAACAAGGAACCTCATCCTAAATCTCATACCTTATACAAAATTTAACTCAAAATAAACTACAAACTTAAATATAAAACTTTTAGGAAAAACAATAGGGGAGAATCTTTGGGATCTAGGGCTGGGCATTTAATTCTTAGAATTGACACCAAAAGTATGATCCATAAAGGGAAAAACTGATAACCGGACTTCATCAAAATTAAAAACTGCTACCTGTAAAAACCTGTTAAGAGGATGAAAAGACAAGCTACAGACAGAAAGAGAATATTTGCAAACTACATATCTAGCAAAGAACTAGTATCCAGAATATCAAAAAAACAAAAAAACAAAAACTCTCAAAACAACAGTAAAAAAGCAAACAATCCAATTAGAATGCAGGCAAAAGAGAAAAACAGACATTTCATCAAAAAAAGATACAGGTGGCAAGTAAGCCCATGAAAAGATGTTCAACATAACTGGCCAGTAGAGAAATGCAAATTAAAATTAAATAAGAAACCACTACAAACCCATCAGAATAGCTCAAATAAAAATTACTGACAATATCAAGTGCTGACAAGGATTAGAAAAACTGATTATTTACACACTGCTGGTGGGAACAGAAACTGGAACTTAGCTTGGTAGTTTCTTAAAAAACTAAACATGCCCCTGCCATATGACCCAGCAATTGCACTCCTGGGCATTTATCCCAAAGAAATGAAAACATTTATTCACAAAAACCTACACACCAACGTTTACTGCAGCTTTATTCATAATAGCTTTATTCAAAGTAGCCAGAAGCAACCCAAATATCCTTTAACAAGTGAACGGCTAAACAAACTGTGGTATATCCACACCAAGGAATACCACTCAGCAATTAAAAGGAACAAACAATTTTTTTTCTGTTTTGTTTTGTTTTTTATTTATTTATTTATTTTTATTTTTGGCTGCCTTGGGTCTTTGTTGCTGCACATGGGCTTTCTCTAGTTGTGGTGAGCAGGGGCCACTCTTCGTTGCAGTGTGCGTGCTTCTCATTGGGTGGCTTCTCTTGTTGCAGAGCACAAGCTCTAGGTGCACGAGCTTCAGTAGCTGTGGCACTCGGGCTCCGTAGTTGTGGCTCGCGGGATCTAGAGCACAGGCTCAGTAGTTGTGGCGCATGGGCTTAGTTGCTCCGCGGCATGTGGGATCTTCCCAGACCAGGGACCGAACCTGTGTCCCTTGCACTGGCAGGCAGATTCTTAACCACTGTGCCACCAGGGAAGCCCAAAAGGAACGAACTATTGACATATTGATACATGCAACAATTTAGATGAATCTCCAGAGAATTACACTGAGTGAAAAAACCCAATCCCAAAAGATCACAATAGTGAATGATCCCATTCATATGACATTCCTGAAATGACAAAATTATAGAAATGGAGAACAAATGAGAAGTTACCAGAAGAAAGGAGGTGGGGGCGGAGCAGAGGGGAGTGGGTGTGAGTGGCTGTGGCTATCAAAGGCCAACATGAGGGATCCTTGTGAAGGAATTGCTCTGTATCTTCACTGTATCAATGTCCATACTCTGGCTGTGATAGTGTGCTATAGTTTTGCAAGATGTTACCATTGGAAAAACTGGGTAGAGGTACTTGGGATCTCTCTGTATTATTTCTTAGGACTGCATATAAATCTACAATTATCTCAAAATCAGAACTTTAATTAAAAAATAGAAGCATTAGCAAGGCGTGGGAGTAATATGGAAAATGATATGGAATAGATCCTCAAAATAGATTAGGGAGAAGAACGTGCCAAATGTTAAGGCCAAAAGGCACCCCTGAAGGTCCTATCAATATGTGCTCCATTACTCCTCACTGCACCCTCCTCTATACTAATTTGAAGTATTAAAAATACTATCTCGGACTTCCCTGGTGGCGCAGTCATTAAGAATCCGCCTGCCAATGCAGGGGACACAGGTTCGAGACCTGGTCCAGGAAGGTCCCACATGTCGCGAAGGAACTAAGCCCGTGTGCCACAACTACTGAGCCTGCGCTCTAGAGCCCACAAGCCACAACGACTGAGCCCACCTGCCACAACTATTGAAGTCCGTGCACCTAGAGCCCGTGCTCCACAGCGAGAGAGGCCACCGTAATGAGAAGCCCACACACCACAACAAAGAGTAGCCTCCGCTAGCCACAACTAGAGAAAGCCCACGCGCAGCAACGAAGACCCAATGCAGCCAAGAATAAATAAATAAATAAATGTATAAAAAAAAGAAAAACTATCTCAATTTGATTTAATTTTTTCAACTAATACTTCTTTTGTAAATTATCTGTTTACATCCTGGGTAAAATTATTTTTAATCATAAACCCAAGTTGACAAAATATTAGTGTTACACAACTTAATGAAAATTAAAATGTATGTCCTTCAAATTGGTATAAAATCAAGACCAGAATCACACCCACACCCAAACTGAATGACCTGAAACTTTAAGCTTTACTTACTCTTAAGTGCACAGGTAAAGAGAGACCCTGGAATCTTCGTACAAGACTAGACTGGGTGGCTTGAAGATTATGAACCGCTGACACTTCGTACTGGAAACAAATACTTGTTCTTGGAATAAGAGGGCCCTCACTCACATCAATGAAGTCACCAAATCTGATTTGATTTAAAAAATAAATAAAACCTCAAAATCAAATCACTTACAATAGTTAAAAAAAATCTATTCATTCTTTTTGCCACTACATCCCTAATCAAGAACAATCTATGTGGATCAATTCCATCTCTAATAGCCCCTGACACAAGAATTTCAAGTGATAAGACTAAAATTTTAGAAATTAAAATCAATGAATCCGGGCTTCCGTGGTGGCGCAGTGGTTGAGAGTCCGCCTGCCGATGCAGGGGACACGGGTTCGTGCCCCAGTCCGGGAAGATCCCACATGCCGCGGAACGGCTGGGCCCGTGAGCCATGGCCGCTGAGCCTGCATGTCCGGAGCCTGTGCTCCGCAACGGGAGAGGCCACAACAGTGAGAGGCCCACGTACCACAAAAAAAAAAAAACAAAAAAAAACAGTGAATCCTTTTCTTACTTAGCATTAATATAATTTTAAAGATTTTTAAATAATTTTTTAATTAATTAACTATTTGGCTGCTTTGGGTCTCTGTTGCTGCGTACAGGCTTTCTCTAGTTGCAGCGAGCAGGGCTACTCTTCATTGCAGTGAGCGGTTTTCTCACTGCGGTGGCTTCTTTTGTTGTGGAGCACGGGCTCTAGGTGCACGGGCTTCAGTAGTTGTGGCTCGTGGGCTCTAGAGCACAGGCTCAGTAGTTGTGGTGCACGGGCTTAGTTGCTCCACGGCATGTGGGATCTTCCCGGACCAGGGCTGGAACCTGTGTCCCCTGCATTGGCAGGCAGATTCTTAACCACTGCACCACCAAGGAAGCCCCTTAAAGATTTTTAAGATCACTGAACACATCATGCTATCAAGTGGATCCAATGTCTAAAACTGATATCCTATCACCTTATAACAACTAACTGCAACAGAGTTTAGAATTTAGCATGTAAGACAGCTTCTTAGAGGAAAAAATTTAAATCTGAGTCAAGAAAACATGAAGTTGAGAAAACAGATACAGGCCGTGAAGCCACTTTTGCATAATGCATTCTTACCTCTCTCATCCCAGCATCAGAAAGCACACTGTGATATAACTTCCTTATATGTAACATAAGTAGTAACTAATTAGGCAGTATTCATGTTTCTATATACATATGAATCATGTTCATTTCATAACAATGAGTATTTTGCCCAATTTCAAAATTAACTGTAAAAATTACATTTTCTTACAATGGTTTCCAACTCTTTCAGAAATAAAAATAACAAACAATAAAATGAGGAACAGAAACCCCAACTGTTCCTGAAGATGACTTAAAGCTTCCAATTACACCATAGCAAAAAATTGAACAAAGCAGTAAAAAGTTAGGTAATAAGACCAAAAAATTAAGGTACAAATCTTTTCCAGTCATACACCAGTCAGGTAACAATAAAACTAAACCTTTCTATAAATTAGCATAGCAGTCAATTTTTATATTTTTACTTACCTGTGTAGCTTGACTATTCTCTCAGGGTTCTGAGATGCCTTCTCTTCTATGAAATCTAATTTGTACCTAAAAAGCAGCAAAGAAACAAATGTTTTAATTCTAAATGTACAAAAAGGTGTTTAAAGCCACTTCCCTTTCTCTTCCTCTTCAGCCGTAATTTTTGCAAGAGGGGTTTACACTTGGAACCTCCCCTTCCTCACTTCCCATTCACACCTCACCTCCTTCAATCTGGCCACAGCTTCACAACTCCACCAAACTGTTCTCCTTGGTGCCAACCTAATGGACACTCTTTAGTCCTTATTTCCACTGCTCACCTCCACTTCTCAAAGTGTTCTTTTCCACCGGCTTCTGTGGCATTCCCTACTGCTTGTTATTTTAACTCTCTGGTCACCCTTCTCTTTCCCTGCCCTTCAAGGGTTCTGTCCATAAATTCTTTTCACTCTAAGCATCCTCTCTGGGCTAGCTCCTTGATTTGCACAGTTTTAATTACTACTTATGTGTTTATATCTTCTACACCTCTGCTTCCAATCCACATACCTCTTCTGAGCCCCAAACTGTATATCCAAAACACTCCAGACATCCACCAGGGTGTCTACAAGCATCTCACACTCCCAAGTTCTCAAACTGAACAAAAACTTACCCTCTCTTTTCTCACCAAACTTATTCTTATTCCTGAATTCCCTAATTTAGTAAATGACACCACCAACTACCCACATCTCCAAGTGAAAAACTTCAGAGATTCCTTGATTCCTGTTTCTCCCACCACATTCCCTCCATCCAATTCATTACCAAGTCACATCAATTCTACTGCCTAAATGTCTCTCAAATCCACTAGGGTCTGTCAGTATAATGAATAGTACAGATGGAACTGCACAGCCCAGGTTCAAATCATGACCTTACCACTTACTATTAAGAGCCTTGCCTATCTACCCCAGAATGCTAAACAAACATTACACATGTGTGGCGAGGCTGGGAAGCGTCAGTTTGTGCAAAAACATCCGCTTACTGCCACACCCCTTCTTCCAGAGCGCCGATGATTACTGAGGGAGCCAATTCCCTTGAATGTTTGTTCCTCTTGACCCACTTCTAAGAGAAACTCCTGTCCCCTGGGAGGCAAAGCCACTGAAAGTTCCCCCTACAGGAGAAAGGCCCCATCACTGATCCACCTTCAACCTCCAAAACTCTTGTCTCCTCAAACTTGCCCCTAAATGATCTCCCACCTCCCTTTACACATTCACCTAAAGTTACCAAAGTCCTACAAGCCTCTCCTAGACTTTGACAGTTGAGTGGGAGGAAAGGGAAATCTCAGTGTAACATGAAATGAAAGTTTAGAGTACGCTGCCCAATATAGTAGCTATGGAGCACTTAAATGTAATTAGTCCTAATTGAAATGTGCCTTAAGTGTAAAATACACACCAGACTCTGAAGACTTAGTATGAAAAAGAGAATTATAAAATATTAAGTTTTTAATATCAATCACATGTTGAAATGTTTCAGATACATTGTTTACATAAAACTGTTTTATTAAAATTAACTTCACCTTTATTTTGAATTTTTTTTAATATAGCTAACTAAGAAATTTAGTTATATAGATGACTCACATTATATTTCTATTGGACAACACAGCCCTAGAATTTTGGTGGGGGAGGTGACTTGATAAATTCTGATAATTTAAGGAATTTTCTTATAGAATTAATGGTAATTTAGTTGTAAAGAATAATTTGTACTCCAGTTCAGTATATTCCTACTGCTTTCTAAGTACACTGGTTCCAAAATATGCTAAATATTATAAACTAGCCCCATGAGAATCTGTGCCTCATTTTATAAATAGCTAAAGAAATTCCAAACCATTTACCTTTAACAATTTGCAGGTGCACATTTTGGCTTCAGAATCCAGTATCTATATGATTTTTTGCAATGCAGGTATTCCTTTCTAATTAATTCTAATTTTAATTTGTTTAACATTAAAATTTAGTTTATGTTCTCACAATTAGTATAAGATAAATTGGAAGTTTTCTGAGTGAAAAAGGGAATTGAGAAGGCAGGCAGGATTTAACATGTTGGCGAAGAAAATCTATCAAATGGTTAATTCCCATGCAGAAGACTAAGATCTGTGTGAACGTTTTACTTCAGCTGTTAGATGCCTCCGAACAGCTGGTATTTTCTGTCTTACCCTTTTCATCTGAAGAGTGGAAAGATGGGAAGGAAAGGTTGCCAAATGCAACAGTTTAAATAAATTTAAGTTTAAATTCAAAATAATGCAATTTCTTAACGTAGGCTACCACTTCACAATGGAAGGAAAAAAGGGAAACATATTGCTATGGTGATATAAAGAAAAGGACTAGCCAAAGAAAAAGAGAAGTAAGACAAAGTAAGAAAATTATCAAAGGTGTGGCAGGGGCACTTCTTCTCAGTGAAATAATGAGGTGAACAAAAGCAAATAGGCTGGTGCAGAAAAGAGATCCCAGAGCTAAAAAGTAAAAAGTGTGCTACATAAATACATCAAATATGAAAGTTATTAAGAGCTGAATTTTCTTCATTACATACAACTTTGGGAGGTTTAATTTTGTTTAAAAGGAAGCCAACACTTACTTATTGTGTTGAAATATTTCTAACGCCACTTTTGCTTCAACTTCCAGAGTTTCAAATGGAAGATCTTTATAAATTAAAGTACGAGCATCTTTTGTGAAGGAACATAGGTTCTCCTTAAAAATGAAAGTATTAACCTTTTGTAACAATTTACTTAAAAACATTTCCCTATAAGGCAGATAAAACTGTATGCTTAATATTATAAGTCCAACTACAACAAAAAGCAAATTTACTAGGAAAGAAAGCATTAATTTGCAACAATTAAATACTGGAACCATAAAATGTACAATTAGCAATTTCTCCCAATTCTACAAACTATAAAACTTGTAATTAACTTGTAAATTAAATAGCCGCCTGTATGAGAAATATTATGGATAATCCCACAAAGAAATTTTAATAAACATTTCATTCAAATTATATAGCCCTATAAACGTTTATTAAAATGATGGTGCAACAAGTAGAAATACTAATAAGTAAATGGTAAGATACAAAAAATTGTTTATACTATGAGTATAAAACTAAGCTTTTTAAATAAAGGCATGAGGAAAAAATTATCATTTATGTGATTCAGAAACTTTCACTAGGAAATGTAATGTCATCATTGGCCATGTCCAAAATATAGCATAAATCCAATATTAGAAATTTCTGTTTAATGAAAATGTCAATTTCACACAATTAAAATGGTTAATAATACACATTAACAATGTTTATGAGTTTAGTAAAAACTATAGTCGAGTTTTCACACTATAAATCATAACTAATACAGAAAAGATCAAGTACTATTATGCAAATAATTTTTGCAATAAAATTCTTTCCATAAACTTCCTAATAGACTCTTGAATGAAATGACTCTTCTCCATTCTTAAATGGACAATTTTCTGTATAACCAACGCACATTCATGGTTTAATATAGCTGTTACTTGACTGTAACTTTCCCCCACTTTCTAAACCCCACGGTGCCTGCAATTAACTAGTACATTTCTTTTTTAAAGTTTTATCTTTAAAAAAAGGAAAAGGAAGCAGCAAGTTTCATACATAATGAGACTTAAATTTTCATCTCCTTAGTTTTTACTTAACTCCCCCAATGAATTAAGCATCTTGACAGACTTGAAAAAAAAAGAAATTATATTGCCACAAGTCCACAGATCATGAAGAAACTGTTCCAACCTCTCCCCTCACCCCCCCATCTCTCCCAATATCTCTCTTCCCTCCCTTTCTCTCTCTTTTTTCCTTCCTGTTTCCCTCCTCTCTCTCTCTTGATATTAAGCAGTAACGGCAGGATTACACAAGAAATAACTGTCAAAGCCAGCATTTAAATCTGGATCTTCCCTGACTCCAAAAATTTTTTTTCAGGTGTCATTCGTGATTTCCTTTTTTTTTCCCCCACATCTTTATTGGAGTATAAATGCTTTACAATGGTGTGTTAGTTTCTGCTGTATAACAAAGTGAATCAGCTATACATATACATATATCCCCATATCCCCTCCCTCTTGAGCCTCCCTGCCACCCTCCCTATCCCACCCCTCTAGGTCATCACAAAGCACCGAGCTGATCTCCCTGTGCTATGCGGCTGCTTCCCACTAGCTATCTAGCTTACGTTTGGTAGTGTATATATGTCAGTGCCACTCTCTCACTTCGTCCCAGCTTGCCCTCCCACCCCCAACCTCCCGTGCCCTCTACGTCTGCATCTTTATTAGTGCCCTGCCACTAGGTTCATCAGTACAGCTTTTTAAAATTCCATATATATGCATTAGCATACAGTATTTGTTTTTCTCTTTCTGACTTACTTCACTCTGTATGACAGACTCTAGGTCCATCCACCTCACTACAAATAATTCAATTTTGTTTCTTTATATGGCTGAGTAATATTCCATTGTATATATGTGTCACATCTTCTTTATCCATTCATCTGTTGATGGACACTTAGGTTGTTTCCATGTCCTGGCTATTGTAAATAGTGCTGCAATGAACATTGTGGTGCATGTCTCTTTTTGAATTATGGTTTTCTCAGGGTATATGACCAGTAGTGGGATTGCTGGGTCATATGGTAGTTCTATTTTTAGTTTTTTAAGGAACCTCCATACTGTTCTCCATAGTGGCTGTATCAATTTACATTCCCACCAGCAGTGCAGGAGGGTTCCCTTTTCTCTGCACCCTCTCCAGCATTTATTGTTTGTAGATTTTTTGATGGTGGCCATTCTGACTGGTGTGAGGTGATAACCTCATTGTGGTTTTGATTTGCATTTCTCTAATGATTGGTGATGTTGAGCGTCTTTCCATGCATTTGCTGGCTGACTCCAAAATTTTTCCTTTTAGAAACTACAATATTTCACTAAATCCAAGATGCACCACTAAGAAAAAACATTACCAGTTATAATCATAAGATGCTATCTACTGTAAGTCACATTTGCTCCAGAGAATTACACTGAGTGAAAAAAGTCAATCCCAAAAGATTACATACTGAACGATTTCATTTACATAACATTCTTGAAATGACAAAACTATACAAATAGAGAACAGATTAGTGGTTGCCACAGTTTAAGGATGGGGGGGGCGGATGGAGACTAAAGAGAAACGTGGGTAATTTTGGCAGTGATAGAAATGTTCCTGGCCGTATCAGTGTCAATATCCTGGTTGTGATATGGTACTATGGTTTTGCAAGATAATACCATTGGGGAAACTGAGTAAAAGGAACATGGAATCTCTATGTATTATTCCTTAAACTCCATGTGTATCTATAATTTTCTTCAACTAAAAACAGTTTAATTAAAAAAAGTTATAGAAACAAACAAAAGACACATTTGTTTTCAGAGATATTAAAATGTGAAAAAAATGTACATAGTGGAATTGATAAAATGGTATGCTACACTGCCGCCCCTCTTCTGATCTCCAAACTTCCAATCTGTAGGACATACAGTTTTGCTTAATTAAGAATTAGGCATTTGTCTGTTCTCCCCAATCATAACTAAGCCTCTAGGCTTGACTTTTGCAAGCCATCAGCATCCTCTACCTACACAGCACCTGATCTAGATTCACTCTGTTAACCAGGCTCCTGCTGCTACCCCAGTCCCAGACCAACAAGGAGCACCCTCCTTATGAAGGCAGACCGTTCCAGAAGAGGCTAGTTTGCTGCTATTTCGGTTACCTTTGTCAAAGCCTGATATTTTAATTCACCCCTCCCCCACTCTCAATGTAACCCTTGGTGATAGGAAGATCTCAGGATGCAATAGGCTTAAAATGGCTTAGGGCAGTGGTTTTCAGATTGTGCTCTGAAGATCCAAGGAGGTAATGCTCCAGGCCCCTTGCCCCCACATCAACCAAGATAGTTAAGCTTCTATATTTTATTCTGGGTACCATGCTGTTGTGAATACCCTCCATCATATACATCTGTCTTAAATACACTAAAAAGCAACAATAAAGATTGACTGATTCTTTTAATATCCTCGACATGCAGTACCATTCAACAATACTAACACAGGACTCGTTCTAACAAAGAAAGGCACAGACTCTAAAATTAATACTCCAAAGACTAGACTTACTTTTGTTGGCATCCACTCATCAAGTCTCTTATCCAAAACTACATCATAGCAGAAGGCTCCAGTGATTACTGTAAATCCAACCAAAATAAAAAGCAAAGTCAAATCTGTTAGGGTAGAAAGTTCTAATTTGCAACAAATGAATATTTAGACCAAAAATGAAGGGTCAACAATCTCTCCCAACACTACAAATTATAAAATTGTCACCATTATTCCAGCTGCTTGTCAGAGCTACACCAACTTTCCCCCCACCATAAAACTAACTCACCTTTTTGTTAACCCAACATCACCAGTATTTTTTAACCATTCACATTTTCTTCAGGAATATTACCACCATAGAGATCTCAAATATTAGTTACTAGATATAAAAATTCCTAAAGAGTAAGATATTTAATAAGTAGATGAATAACTAAATGGACATGAAATGTTTATTTTCTTTTTTAATATCTTCTAAATTTCTTCATTTTTTGTTGTTTTGTTTAGAATCATTTATTGCCAAATCAAATATTTTTTGGTATATAAACTTCCACCTTTTTTAAAAAAAATACAATTGTGATCCTACTACACATACTGTTGCAAGATCCTAGTTTTAGGAAAATTACAAAGAATGTGAACTCTTCCACCTCCCCAAAATGGTATTCCTCTCCAGTGTCAGGGTCATTTCTGGTGAAATGGTACCACCTAAACACAGTTTTCTACAGAAGTCTATTTATACTCATATCTCCTCCTCACATTCTGTTTGGAAATAAGTACTTAAAATGCTAAGAAATAAATACTGACAAAATATAATTACATGAAATTCACATTCAAAAGAAACATTCTCCTCTAATTCTATTATGTTAATAATTGACCGCCAATAATTAAATAAAATGGATTCTTTTACCATTATAAATAGAAGGTATATATGACAGTGATAGGATGGATTTTGTTACCCATAATAAATGGAATGTATGTATGATGGTAATTTATATTAGACTAAATAAGAAGTGAACTCTATACAACAAAAATATGTACCAAAATATTCAAAGATTACAGAAAATGTCTGTGTCTATATATATATATATATATATATGTATATAGACACACACACATATATATATATGTTTATTTATTTATTTATATGTGTACATCACCTGGAACTTCTGGAGCTCTGACCAAACTGACCACATATTCATCTTTGAATGCCCTCTCTATCACACAGCCCATCATCATGGCACAAGAACGCCAATAAGCCTAGAAAAATAAAATACACACAAACATAATAAACACAACATTTACTAACATTTCTTTAATATTAAAATTTAGGTTGACTTTTGACTTAGGAACCATTTCTCAAATATCTGTCCATCCTCCACATTTAGCAATGGTTACCATCAGACCATGACATGACCACCACCAAGCAAAACCCACAAAAGAATGAAGCACCAACTTCATGTGGTTAGCAATGCTTGTATAAGATATCAGACACTATAATGTTTATCAACCAATAAATAGTTTTACTACTGGTAGTAATTTTATTTTTAACCCAGGATAAAGTTAACTTGTTAACAAACTTGTGCTAAAGTAAAATAAATATATTAAAATATACCTGTTTATAACATATATAAATATGGAGGGATAACCCAACTTTTTTTTTTTTTCCATCTTTATTGGAGTATAATTGCTTTATAATGGAAGCCAACTTTTAAGGATTACTTATGGGCTTTCCTGGTGGTGCAGTGGTTAAGAATCCCTCTGACAATGCAGGGGACATGGGTTCAAGCCCTGGTCCAGGAAGATCCCACATGCCACGGAGCAACTAAGCCCATGTGCCACAACTACTGAGCCTGTGCTCTAGAGCCCATGAGCCACAACTACTGAGCCCACGTGCCACAACTACTGAAACCCATGTGCCTAGAGCCCGTGCTCCACAACAAGAGAAGCCACCGCAATGAGAAGCCCACGCACCGCAACAAAGAGTAGCCCCCGCTTGCTGCAGCTAGAGAAAGCCCGCACATGGCAACAAAGACCCAATGCAGCCAAAAATAAATAAATAAAAATAAAATAATAAAATTTTAAAAAAGAATTATTTATGACTCCTATCCTATACCTAACATCACATATCACTTAGGTTATTCATATTTATAACAAAGCAACCTCACTATTAACTGGGCTTCCATCTCACTAGCATTTTGATCCATGGACATGCCCAATATGGGTATCCATGCAATGACCTTCCCAGAGTCATAAAGAGAAACGTAAGTCCTACACCATCTTAAGCTCTGTACTGGCACTACTATAACTAGGAACTTGGCTTTCCTAAGCTCTTCTCCGTATCTGAGGAGGACAAGAGTGGGCTCATTTGGTTGCACATGGCAGAGACTGCTCCAGAATGTGTTCTACACAACCACACAAATACATTAAAAATAAATGCAAACCCAGGCCTTGAAGGCCAGTAGCAAAATGCACTTCTTCATCTATCTGACTTGACTGTTTTTAATGTCTGGTGAACTCCAGGGTCAATGCCTAGGTTCAAATCCAGGCTCAGCCACTTAGCAAACTGGTAACCTTGGTCAGGCTATGACACCGCTCTTTGCCTCAGTTTATTTATCTGTAGAAAGGAGATAATAGCACCTTTTATGGGTTTTTTTTTAATGAGGATTAAATGAGTTAATATCTGTGAATCACTAAAACAGTGCCTGATATACAATAAATGTTCAATGTTAGCTACTACTATTATCATGTCTACCATTTCCTTCTTTAAGTATTTCATTTCAACAAATATTTATTAAATACCTACTGTATGTAAGTCAAGGATAAGATCTAATAAGGGACATGATCCCTGTCTTCACAGAGCCAAGAATCCAGTACATTCAACAGTTCGTATTACAAGGGAAAATCAAACTACTGTATCTAGAGACACTAGCCACGTGTTGTGAGGCCCGGAAGAAAAGAGGGATTCATTCTGACAAGAAGAAACTGAGAAGGTTCCACAGAGCATATGGCATTTTAATTGAACTATAACAGGTAAACAGGATTTTAATAGGGAGGAAAGAAAATATTCAAAGAGCATCAACAAAAGCAAGGAGGATAACAGAACAGAAACCATTAGTGACCAAGTCCTCCAGTGTGGCTGGAGCAAAGAGGAAGTGGAAAGATGCCGTGGAAGGTGAAGCTCAAAAGGCAGGTGAGAGTGAGAAGTGTCCACACAGAGCTGGGAAAGTTATATGAACGGTTATCAGGTAGGCAAGTTCTTTAGGAATAAGTGACATCATCATTACTCACATCATTTAATAAAACTCTTGCAGGACTATTAAGGAAGACTTTCAGATTAAAAAAGGACGGGGGGGCTTCCCTGGTGGCGCAGTGGTTGAGAGTCCGCCTGCCCATGCAGGGGACGCAGGTTCGTGCCCTGGTCCAGGAGGATCCCACATGCCGCGGAGCAGCTGGGCCTGTGAACCATGGCCACTGAGCCTGCGCGTCCGGAGCCTGTGCTCCACAACGGGAGAGGCCACAACAGTGAGAGGCCCGCATACCGAAAAAAAAAAAAAAAAAAGGAGGGGGGGAGAGTTAAAAAGTTATTGAAATAATCCAGAAAAGATGGTGAAAGACAAGAATGAAATTACTGCAATATACAGGGTGATTAATAAAAGTAAGCTGAACAAAGATATGAATGTCATTTAGTTTTCTCAAACCAAAATACAGAGACATTAATGCCACTGAGGATTTTTGAACTATGAACATGCCTAATCTACCAAGTAAAACCCTGATTATCTAGTACAGTACAACATTTGACCTTGGCCAGATTTGTACATTTCAAACTCCATAGGAAACAGATTTTAATTAAAAAAAAAGACTAGAAAAACAATTGGGGGGAGGGGTACAAAAGAACATAGAGGCAGAAATACCTTATTGACTTCTCCCGGATCATCATCTTTGAAAGTAAGAAATTTAATTTCACATGACTTGGTCAAAGGCTTATACATGTCCCAAGGCTGTCCGTCCACAAGAGCCAGAATGGACTTCCTGCAGTACCACTCACTTAAATCTAGGAATTTAAAACAGATTGAAGATCTAACTCTAACAAAACCCAAGTGAAAAATTACATGTTTAAGTGCTACGTTAAGAAATAAAACAACAGAAAGGCAAGATTCTGCAAGCTGTCTTTTTTGGGGAGAAAAAAAAGATTTGTAGCCAATACAAAAATAATTCCCAACACATCCAATGTATTGTTAATTATTAATGAAATTACCCAAACAAAAATCATTAAGGCTAAGTCTAACTTGAAATTAATCTGTCAATTATTAAGTAATAAAATAGTTTTCCAAGAGCTACCCTTAAATATTCAGAGAGCAGCATCCTGGATATATTTGGCTATATGCACACACAACTTAGAAGGGAAAATATATAAATATACATCCCAGTAAGTCTGTTCTAGATGGGTTTGGGGTCTTGCTCCCAAACCATCTTTACTTCCCTAACATGGACTCTTCAAGTTAAATACCATAGTTACCAGTTTTTATTCAATAATTATCAGTATGAATTCACACATAAACCAATCAGCTCTGGTCTGTTATATGACTCCAGAATGCAACTCCAACTCTGATTAGATGTTTTTTGAGTACCCAGCTATTCACAGAAGTGGTCAAACCACAGGTCTAAATAAGTTCCATAAGGCGGGGATCATGCCTATTTTTGCTCACTCGCCAGTATAGCTAGAGACTAGCATCAGGCCTGAAATTACCAGGTACTCAATAAAATTTACTGAATGACTGACAGTATGAGTGACAAGCAAAGTCTGAGGGCAGCAGTCATGCTAAGAGTGGTTCAGAGGCTTCATCTCTACATGTGATGTGTGTAAAACTCCTTAAGGGCCTGAGCTCTGTCTTAGACTCCTCTGTATTCCTAACGCCTATCCTACGGCAGAGGTTCAATAAATGCTTGCCAAACAAGTAAGCAATTATAAGTACTAATTCAAGCGCCAAAGTAAAGGAAGATTGAGAGTACACACTCGGCAGGTCAGCTTAAGCTTTTAACTAAAGTTAATTACTTAAATGGAATCATTACTGAGTTTTCCAAAAATCTGAACAATGCAGCCAGTCATATATGAGTGAGCATGTAGGTGTACATATCTACTTTTTGTTCTTTCAGAATTCAAACGTTACCAGTTCTATCAAAGCTACTACAAAAGCATTTTGATCGAAAATAACATAGAGGCCTTGTTCCCTTCATTTCCACACTAAATCACACACAGGGCCTTGTTTTCTCCCGTAAGATATGAACACAACAAATATTTTTACCCCAATCACATTCACCCCATGCACTCACACATTTACCACATGTACATGTAAATGTAAACAAAGACACAACACACAGAGGCAAGTGGTGAGCAGATAAAAGACTTAAGTTAGGCTATAAAGAGCAGGAAAGGAAAAGAAGGCCAAAAAAAAAGCTGATCATCTGAGGCCAGGGCGGTCCCTCCACCCCAAAATCCTTTAATGGGACTCACATGGTGACTGCTCCCATTACACCACAGTGTGTCTAAAAGGGGCAAGCACACTAGTAGCAATGCTTTCAGGTCTGCCTCCTGCAGGAAACAATGACAGCCCTCTAAACTCAGCCAGATTTCAGCAAGTCCCAGGACAACCTATGCGTTACAGCACCAACCTTTCAAGACCCACAGTGCCCTCAACTGCTAAGCCCGCAGTGAACACTCAGTAAGATGCTAGATAAAGGAGAACTTCCGGGAACTTCAGGGAGCAATTACAGCATCTTATCTCCTCTGTACCGGTTCTTCTCCTGATTTATGCAAAATCTTCAAAATGGTACCCTGATTCGTTACTTACGCATGGCACAGCTATAAGGAGTTGAAATGTTTTTATTCATGACAAAGACAGTGCCAGGGTCAAACTTCCCAACGTGCTTAACTTCAATCTTCTCAGTTCGGGGAGTTAATGATAGCTGCCTGGTTTTCTCTTTGTTAAAGAGATCATTCTGCATTTCTGTCAGTTCGGTCGGTGACAGCTGAGAAGCAGGTGATGTTGCTATAAATCCTGTGCAGAAGTTACAATAAATGTGAATACTGACCAAAAAAATAATATATTGCCCCACCCTGTTCCCCTCCCGTATCACCATCCTCCAACAAGGAAAGAATAGGAGGAAAGGGAACTTTAAACGCTGTTCACCAAAATGAGTTCAGAAGTAAACTTAAACCCCTTTCTAATATTAATAATTAAAACGCCCACGGAAAAGAACTGCAGCCTGCCCTGATCCGCGCCTTTACTTCAAGTTTGCTCTTTCACCATCAGATCGCCACTTCCCACCAGTTTCCTAGGTCGTATTCCAATCTGGGCTTTACAATAAGGGGCAAAAAGTAACCAGGAAGTGGAGTCAAAACCAGACCAGTCATTGGAAACGTGAGCAAAACTGTCGCTTTGAAAAGGTCTTGAGGACAAGAAAGCTCCACGAGACTGCAAGTCCCACGCCAAAACTCTCCATATGTAGAGAGAGAAATGCTAAGCTTATTTTCCAAACCCCAAATCAGAGGATTTGGCAAGGCATGTACGAGTCCAATGGAAAAATAAGGACACGTTTGCACCGGGACGTGGTCTCCCTCCCAGGGGCACCCCAAGCTCCTCCCGCGGCCCCGCCCCTGCCCTCCCCGTCCCTCTCGCGTCCCGAGGTATGTACCCCAAGGCCGGGAAGGGGCGGCCAACACAACAGGGACTCAAAAGGCCCTCCTCGGCCCCCAACCCCGCGGGACCCCCCAGGACCCGCCTCGGGCCCAATCTGGGCAGACACCATCCTCTAAGCCTCCCTCCCTGACCCTATGGCCGCTAAAACTCACTCCAGCCAGCCCCGCCGCCGGGGGCGGCCCGCCAGAGCCGCAAGCCCCAGACTCGCACGGCCATTGCCTCCTCCGCGACGCTAGGAACCTCTGCGCGCAAGTCCTTCTCCGGCTTCTTCCCCGGAAACTCCGAGCGCGCACCCCAGGTTCCGTCGGACAGTTTTGTTCCGGGCCGGGCTGTCGGGCGGCATCCGCCACCAGGGGGCGCGCTCGCGCCTCGCTGATAGTCAGTCGCTGGAGGTCTGGAGTCCAGAGCCCGGCTTGTTCCCGGCGCGCGGGGGATGACCCGGAGGTCCTCGGCCCCACGGCGCCCGGTCGGCCACCCGGTGGGCTCTGCAGGGGGACAAGCGTCTCCTTTGGAGCCGCAGAGCCCGACACGCGTCGTCACCCTCCGCCCTCCGCGGGTTCGATTCCCCGCCTGCTGAGCAAAACCCTTGTTTCTCTCAAAGTATGTTTCTGGGGAGAAAAACTGAGAAAAGCTGACTTCTGTTTACTCTTACTTTCGTGGTCAGCCCGGCCGGCCACGTCGATGGCATCTTCAAGCTCTTGGCTTAACTGTCGGTTTTGCAAGGGTGAGTTCTTAGGGTAGCTGGAGTGGGTCTGCGCCCGGCTTCTCCATTTATTTAGCCGTAGTAATATGGACACGTCAAAACGTGTCCTGTTGACGTTGGAGGGAACTTTGTAATCCGCAGAGCGTTTTACAAATTATCTAGATTAATTTATATACTATATAGAGAGCACGTTAAAAGAATCCCATGTTAAAGGGTGGAATTTTTGTCTCTTGTTCACTGATGGATCCCAAGCACCCAGAATGCAGCGTGGCACACAGTAGGTGCTCAATATGTATTTGTTGAACGACTGAATGCCTTTGCATTCAGCGCAGTGTCTGATTCCTTTGTCCAACTAGGATGTTGCTGCTATTGAAGTAAGCATCCCAGAGGTTTAGTATGGAAATGCTCTTATTCAAAGTTGTTTACTGCTATAGCTTTATTTAAATCGTGTAAATTGACAAATTCAGCCCAAGGCCTTTCCCTACTCTGTTCCTTGACTTGCAATTGAAAGACATCACCACCAGGTGGCAATACTGGCTAAGGAACAGATGGGCACCGTGAGACCTCCTGCAGCGAAATTGGGGAACCGTGGTCCTAAGGCACAATCTTAGTTATAAGATAAGTACTGGGGATGTAACGTACAGCATGATGACTATAATCAACAATGCTATATGGTGTATTAGAAAGTTGCTAAAAGAGGAAATTCTAAAAGTTCTCATCACAAGGAAAAAGTATTTTGTTTTCGTAACTTTATGAGGTGATGGATGTTAACTAAACTTATTGTGGTAATCATTTTGCAATATATACATATGTCAAATCATTATGCTGTACACCTTAAACAGAGTTGTACATTATTTATAAAACTGCAAGAAAAAAAGAAGACTCTGTGCTTGTTAGATCTGTCACCTTGACCCGAATTGTACATTCGCAATAACTGCACAGGGAAAGTATAATTATCTTCACTTTTTTTTTTTTTTTTCGGTACGCGGGCCTCTCACTGCTGTGGCCTCTCCCGTTGTAGAGCACAGACTTAGCGGCCATGGCTCACAGGCCCAGCCGCTCCACGGCATGTGGGATCCTCCCGGACCGGGGCACGAACCCGTGTCCCCTGCATCGGCAGGTGGACTCTCAACCACTGCGCCACCAGGGAAGCCCTATCTTCACTTTTTAAATGAGGAATGTAAGTAAGTGTCCGAACTTGGATTTAAACCCAGTCTGCGTCTCACTTAAGATTTAATTAATTGATTGGATTTAAACCCAGACCACCTCTCAATTAAGATACTATCTCAAAACACGAAATATGCATACATCAATATATATGTGTGATGTGTATGTATCAGCAAAAAATGTGTATTTTTTGCTTCCTCCTTAAATTTGATCCCTTGGTGATCTTTGTTTCACTAGCCTTTTAGAGTCTATCCCCATTTAACCTCATGTAGTTGCCTGCAGAACATTTTAGAGTGATACTTAAACAAAGCCTCAGAACATAAATTTAAGCAAGTTTAATCATGAATTGCACAGGAAGCAGTGATTGGAAGTCACAGATATCACAGAAATTAACTTGGCTGGAAGGGTGTTAGAAATGATAATGTCCAACAAATACTGAATGTATGGCCAGTCGTGTTGAACATGCCAGTCAATCAGGTTTTCTCACAACTTACTCATGCAATAAGCATATTATTAATCTTCATTTTCTAGGAGAGGAAATTCAGGTTGGGAGAGCTTGAGAGACCTACCTGAGTTAGATATTTGGCCAAGAACCCCCCAAAATATTTCCTTACCCTAAATCTCCTATCTTGCCCCCTTCTTTATCACCCCTCTCCCCAAATCTTAGTCTCACTCTTTCAATTTCCCTCCCAAATGAAAAGAATCAGGTCTGTGACAGTAAATATCGAAGGTGAACTTGGAGCATCTTATTGTGCCAGAAGGCAAGAAAATACTCAAAGACAGGAAGAAACATGTTAAAAGGACACAGGATCCAGCTTAAAGGGGGCTCCCATCGTGAAAATTTAGTTTGAATTACAAAAAGAATAATGATGAAGGATTATAACGTTATGTATGCTAAAAATCCATGAGCCCATAGTGATACTCAAAAATAAATGGGAGTAGAGAGTAGAGAGGACGTTTTCTTTACAAAAGAATGCCAGGTAACACATAGAGTAGGAATAACAGAATGGGGAAAAGTCAACCATTCTGCAACTACCAGTGTAATGTTTAATTCAGGAAGGGATCATCTGTGGATACTAAAACCAATGGGGAAAGTTTGTTGAGGGTCAAGATATTCACAAATATCACCCCACAGATTACTGACAAAACATAAAGGGATAAAGGAAACTTTTCAATGGAGAAATCTGATGGATACCACCTTAACATCGTGGTCAAACTTGTCATCACCCAAAATGGGACAGTTTGACATTATTTGTGCCTCCTTGTTGTGATATAAACAAATAATCCATGTAGTATTCCTACCGTAAATGTTGACCCTGAATCTAAAGAGTTATGAGGAAGAAAAATCAGATATATACAGAAAATGATACATTCTATAAAGCAACCAGCCTGTACTCTTCAAAAATATCAATTTCGTGAAAGATGGACCAAAAAAGGTCAGGGACCCGCTCTAAATTAAAGGAGATTAAAGAAACATACGACTAGTACCTGTGTATGATCCTTGCTTGGGTTATGGATCAGAAAGAAAAAATGTACAAAGGAGATTATTATGAAACAAATTTGAATATAAACTGTATGCTAATTAATATTATTGTATCAATGTTATATTTCTTGGATATGATTGTTGTATTGATATAGGAGAAAGGCTTTGTTCTTAGGATAAAATGTTGAAATATTTAGGGATGCAGTATCTTCACACCTGTAAGTAACTCTCAAACAGTCCAGTAAGCATAGAGAGGGAGCAAGAGAAAGGAAGCAAATGTGGCAAAATGTTACCAATTGGTGAAGCTAAGTGAGGTGCTGATGGTCCCACTCTTTCAACTTTATTCTCAAATTTTTCCATATAAAAAGTTGGGGGAATAACCACAGTAGTTTTCAACCACAAAAGTCGGTTTTGCGCACACTGCCTGTCAGGGGCAGCAGCTACAGGCCCACTGGGGCTCTGCAATATTATCCCAGAATCCACGTTGTAAAAGCAGCCCCTGCTTGGGACTTGCGATTCTGTGGCAAAAAGAAAAGAGAGCAAGGACTCATCAGGACCCTTCAGAGCTTCTGCTCAGATCCAGCTGGTACTCAGCCTCCAAGTCCCCTAACCCTAGCAAGTCCCACAGCCAAGCCCAGTGGAGTCCGGCAGGAGGTGTCTGCCTTCTGCAGGGAGCCAGGAAATGAGGTTATAAAAGTCTCCATCGAGAAACAGAACACTGAAATCTAGAATCCAGTAACACAGTTATTCTCCCACAATCACGAGATGAGCTGAGACTTAAATGCAGATCGACCTCCAAAGCCGATGCTTTCTTGTTTCTCGAATTTACATGTTTTTTTTAAATCCAAATAGTTGATTTTACATCTTCAAATTATTATACATTTACTCACTTGGAAAATCAAAAAAAATATCATACCGTGGAAAATTTCCTCCCAGCTTCTTTCCCCATTCACAAGTTCTTAACCAAAACCTGACAGGGGTTACCACTGTTGTTAATTTCTTATGTATCCTTGAGAGTTCTTGAGGCCTCAGTCTGCTAACCCAAACAGATAATCTTATTTTCCACCCTTTTTGACCCAAAATGCAAGCAAGCAAACATGTGGTTCTTTACCTTGAAAAGCTGTACTTTTTATCAGTTTGTGTTCATCTGTTTCCCCTAAGAGCCACCAAGACAGAGTTAATCAAGCAAGGGTTTTATTAGGGGAAACACCTATGAGAGAAAAGGGGGAGGAGCCTGGTAAAGCTAACCCCTCATAAAATAGGGAAGGAAGGAGGGTAGAGAGGAGGCTAAAGAGGGGTCATCAAGGCTTTGAGGGGTGTCCTTGAGCCAAAGCCCACCACCAGAGGGGTCCCAGTCTCGCAGGAGTGGACCTGCCGTAGAGTCCTGACCACACCCAGTCTTTGGCTGGGAGCAGCCTTTGGGGGTGTGGCTGCAAACACGGCCATGGATTTCAGAGTCAGCAGCTGGGACTCTCGGTCAGTGACGCTCCCTGTACTTGGAGGTCTGTGAAGCATACAAAATAAGCTGTGTTTAAGAAGTTAAAGAAGCACTTGCTATGCATTTTACATTTCCTACGTGTTAAACACACACACACACACACACACGCACACATGCACATTTCTAATAGTTATCTCACATCAGGGCACAATACCCTCTGCTTGCAGCTGGCCTGACAGGTGAGGACAGACAAGCTACCCCTAAGAAATAACGAGAGAAAAAGCAGGTGCAACCCATAGCTAAACTTCAACATCAGTCCTTACCAACTCTCTAATGGGCTGAGGTGGCAGCGGAAGGTGTGGGGGGGGGGGTGACTGTGTGCCTGTATGTGTTGGTGGGTTTCTGGAGAAATGAAATGCAGTTGAATATAAAGATGTACATATAGTCCACTACTTCCACTAGCATTCCTCCTTAAACCATCCCTTT